CATGCTGTAAATTCTGTCTTATTCCCGATACCTTGCCATTTCATTTTCTTTTTGAAAGAACTTTGTCATGTATGTGACAACGGTAGGCTACTGTGAATTCAGTTTGCTTTATGTCCATGAAGCAGTTCCCTTTACATGCATTTTGGTTACTGCATATTTAGTTTTGTATTATAGCAGCAAAACTCAAGAGCGTGTTTTTTTGAATGTGAGAAATTGTCATATTAATATTCGTACTTGTAAGTTGAAATTTACCCTCACAGCTCTGATGTGAAAAGCTGAATCTCTCGATTTGCATACAGGGACAATAATCAAAACTAATAATTGCACATGTATAAATTAAGCCAATACATTCGTCTCGGTGTCAGTTTATCTTCTGAAATTTAATTTAATGGCATTTTGAAGAAGTACATAAAGATTTTGACATACCACCTCTCACGTGTGGTCATAATGGGGAGAAAACATTCCTATTGTAATTACACAATTCATGAACTTCACCAGCATCATCATATTGCTCATTCTGAATCAGATCCAAAGTAACTGGTAACTTACTACTTGAGTAGTCTTTTCATTGGATACTTTTTAACTCTTACTCAAAGTAATTATTGACATTATTACTTTTACTTCTACTTGAGTAACTATTTCTATTCATATGTGTACTTTTATGATGTACAGAGTTGCTATGTTTTAAATCAGTCTCTTAGGATGTACCATTTTAGCTATGATAGTGCCCTTACAAAGAATAGACAGCAAAGCAGCGCAAGTTTTTTAAAGATAGCCATAATCTGAGGTTTGTTCTGCTAGATTGTAGACTTGTACATTAAGACAAGATGTGTTATTAAGTCTACCCTTTACTTAAACAGAATACACTTTGTTGTTCTGAAGCTGAGTAGTTCACTCTAGGCAGTCTGGAATTGCTTTTGTATTGGACTCATATTTTAGCTGTGGTCACAAACAGTAGATGAGACATTAGTGTTGTCTCTATGGTGCTCTGTGCGGGCAGAAAGTTATTTCTGAGCTGTTAAGGTCTGGACTAGCCTGTCCTCTGACACCACTTCTGCGACTGGTCATGCACGAACACATCTGTCAAATCTCTGCTGTGATTTCACACTCTGGGAAACTGTAGTGAACAGCAGTATGGAACTACGGGGGTGAGGACCCTCTGATCTTGAGGAGGTTTGTCAATGCCACATCTGCTGGTAATGTGACAGGATCACATCTGAATTAACTGTCACTTGGCTGGATCAGTATCCTGTTATACAGCACCATTATAACAGCACTATGACAATTCCTTTGAGAATGAATTTCCGTGCTAGTCCTAGCTGGTCTAGCTTTCGACCATTCTGCTAACCTGCAAAAAATTGCTGAATTAAGCAGATTTTGAGAATCTGTTGATTAAGATACTTTTTGCACAAAGCATTTACAAACAATCACTGCTCAAACACTAAACCTAACATTAGACAGAAATCTACGGAGGTATTATAGCAGCAAAACTCAAGAGCGTGTTGTTTTGAATGTGAGATTGTCATATTAATATTTGTACTTGTAAGTTGAAATTTACACTCACAGCTCTGATGTGAAAAGCTGAAACTCTCGATTTGCATACAGGGACAATAATCAAAACTAATAGTTACACATGTGTAAATTAAGCCAATACATTCGTCTTGGTATTCAAGTATTATCTGGCAGACAAATAATGTAACATCTTTTATATGTTTATCTTATTATATATTGCGGAGAGTATGGCTGTAATATGTTGAACCACTTTATTTAATGACCATTAAGGCCAATATAAAGCTATTAAGGCATAAGTGAAAATGAAACAGGATAAAAACTGATGCAGGTAAGGGAGTAACTTAACAATAATATGATATGATAATATTCAATAATATGAATATATATAAAAAAAAAAAAAACTTTCTTTCTCTTTATTTATTCCTTCCCTTTTCTAGCTTGTACTTATTTGAACAATGCCTAAAACTTGGTATTTCAAGCACTTCCTGTGTCTGTTTGCCTCTTTAAGAAGAATCGCTTTATGTATTCCCCAATTGTAAGTCGCTTTGGATAAAAGCGTCGGCAAAATGATTAAATGTAAATGTAAATATGAGTGTAATAGGCTATTGCAAGTACACCAAAGAATGTAGGCCAATGCATAAAATTCATACTGAACTTGATTAAAAAATGTTGCTTATTGTATTCAGCAGAAGCCTTCAAGTTTAACTTTAACAGTAGTATTTACATGTGTAGTTGTTTTTAATCTAAAATTTTACTTATATGGAATAGGCCAGCACATTTAATCATAGAAATACTTTGGAGACTTTAACATAATAGTTTGATGTGTGTCAAACTAATCCAGGTCTACAGTGCATCACATGGTCAAAGACCAGACAACATTTGGTTTTTCATGTTCTTGCATGGACTTTTACCTCAAGTCTACCTTTGTAATGTATTTACACAAGAAACTGAGGACAACACAGAGGCATAGGTCACAAAAATTGAATTATAATGTTAATAAAAAATATTATAAAGTGTTATCTATAGGGTACAGTGAAGATATGCATGTTGAATCACTGAATAACTTACTAAATCAGTTCATTCATTCATTCATGTTCATTCATCATAAAAAAGCTTTTTTCCCCCATAAGAATCTGGAAGTGTTGATGCAGACCATATGTTTATAAAAAGGAATTACATCTATAGAAGTGACTGACTCCTATAAAACAGACCAATATATTACTTCCGCAGTCTTCTGCCATGTCGAGCTGCTTTCCAAAAGCTGGTTCTCCTACCAAATGGGCACTGGCTGCCCCTGTTGCATGACATCATTTGAATTTTATTGGTTAGGCATCGACCCCTTCATTCCCACCCCGGCCCTAGCTCTGCTCTTGTATGCATTTACAAGTGCACTAATGAGTTTTGCTACAGGAATATCGCGAAGTAAGTAACAAAAGTCAAAGTGCTAGGATTTGAAGTTGTACTGCCAGATCTGAGAGGTTGTAAGTGATGACTTGTGGTTGTACTGAAGTAAATTGCAAAAGTAAATATGTTGTACACATTTGTGTCTGTCATTTTGTTTATGTCATAATGTAATTTTACACATTCGTAACTTTTAATCTGCAACTTCGAATTCAAAACACAGGTGTTTTGGTTATTGTCCCTGCATGCAAATTGAGAGATTCAGCTTTTCACATCAGAGCTGTGAGTTTAAATTTTAATTTACAAGTACGAATATTAAAATGACAAGTTCTCACATTCAAAACAATACGCTCTCGAGTTTTGCTACCTTCATAGATGATGCAAATGATGCCACCTTAAATTCCTACCTTGAAATCTAGACCTAATTAAAGGTGAAGTAAGCGATATCTGAGAAATGCTAAAAGTTTACCTTTTAAACTTCAACCCCAATCCTAACCCTCAGCTTTACACATAATCTATCCCAACCTCCAACCCTAAATTCTAACCCCTACCCCCAAAAGTTTTTCTAGTCTAAACTCTCAAATCCAATACCCAATCCAGATCATTGGGCCGGATTCATGGAAAATTATTGTTTTCTTCTCATTTTCTAATTTAAGAATAAAGTTAAGTATATTTTGTATTCCCCAAAATATAGATATATATTTTATATATAATATATCTTTTTATATATAAATATATAAAAAGAATGTTCTTATTTTTTCTTAAGATGTTCTAAACACAAAAACTTAAAAATATAACAAATCTATTCGCAACATATAGGCTGATACATATTACTGTTTACTAGTGGATGTGCTTGAGAACTCTGAAGTTACACTAATTATCGATAATGTAAACAATGATCGGCTATGATTATGCATGACGTGATTTTTGTACTGAATTCAGAATTCAGTAAAGACTCCAGTCAAATAGGGACCTCATTGTTGATTTTCTAATTACAACATCATTTTCAGCAGCATCCAGCTCCATCTTGAGACACGCTCTTTAAAAATAATTATTTAAAATATACAGCGCATTTAGAACCACACATTCTGAACTCCTGTCAAGCCAGTCTCCTGTCTAGAATAGTGTGTTCTTATATGCTGATAAACTGAATCAGGCGTCTTAGTTGGTGTGACATCTAAAACATTCTTAGAGGTGGGTCCCCAGAATTTATTGCCATAGAGGAAAACCACACATGGTGCCAGCGCTGTGATTAGGACACAAAGTTCAGACATATTTACCTATGCAGTAGTTCTTACCCTAAAATTTGATGATCGGTAGTAATGTAATCGGACTTGGATAGATTACGTTAAGATAGGAACACTAGCATACCAGCATCCCAAGACATATTCAGTATTTTGGTAGCGAGTGTCTCTCACTCAAACTATGAGCAGATTAGAACAAATATACTTTTCCCGACAGCATCCTCTCTATCCTAGTACGTAGCCGCTTTCCCAGGCTCCAGCCGAATTCTGTTTCATTAGCCTGTCAAACTCAATAATAGTTAGAGCCCGTCCTCTCACCGAGCACTGCAAACTCAATCAGTGCTATGATTTCATAACCCTTGCTCTGTGACAGGGCTTATTTTATCGAGGCACCGATCCACTCTGATTAACAGGATGTGGGGTGGGGTGTGGGGTGAAATACAACACGGCCAGAGTGTCCAGGCTGGGAGAGAACGAGAAGGCGGGAACAAGTGTGTTCATAAATCAGAATTGTGGGATAGAGGAAGGTGCTGATGAGCAAGCAGAAGGCGAGCGTCCAGAGACGGTGATGATCTGTGACGGCCCATGAGAAGCTGGAGATGGTAGGAGATGTATGAAGAGTCAGCCGCCATAAATAAACCCAAATAGAAAAACAACCCTGACATTTCAGTCCCCGGTCTGCTGCCCTTGAGAAATAAGGGAGAGAAGTAAAATATAATGCTTGCTGCAGTGATGTGTTTTCATTGTTTTTACCCATGATCCTCTTTGTATTGGTAGATTTGGCTTCACTTAAACCTTTGTTCTTTTTGTTTTGTCTCCACACGCCTCTGGCTGAACCAGCAGACAACAGATGACATTGTGTCCTCTGCAGAATGTTCCAGCGATGACGAGGATCTGGAGGAGTGTGACGGGGGACACACAGGTGGGATGGATGTGTTACGGTTGTGCTTGCTTAAACTTGGTCTTTCAATCTCTTCTATTTGAATTCTCCCTCTCAAAGCATCACCCCCATAACAACCCAGTGTAACTTCAAAAGTGTCACTAAAAGCAATTTTTCAAACTCAAAAACTATAGCAGTAAAAACATATGTCTATAGTGATATAAAGTGGTATATCACTGATGTACAATAGTATTTGGACACTTAAGTCACAATAAATGTCTGTATGTTACTGGGTTAGAATAAAAAATATCAAACCAAATGGCATCTGCAAACAAATGGTACTAAATGTTTTCTCAGGACTTCTGAGGATTTACTTTTTTTTTTTAATAACTTTTAGGTAAAAGTCACTTGAATCCAATACATTAACTGTGGACATGTTCCACTAATATCTGACTTACAGAAAGCGTCTGTCAATTAATTACATTTAAATTAGGGCTATATTGCATATATTAAAATATATAGATATTTGCTTCCAAGTTATGATATTTAAAACAAAAATTACATTATTGCAGCAGATGAAAGAAAAAGAATGCGGTTTTCTTAATTATCTATTATTATTTAAATAAATGTCACTTGCTTTGATATTTTGTTGTCTATTGTGCAGTGACATTGATACATTTTAAGACGTGATTTATGTGTCCAAATTCTGTTCTATTTAAGTCTGTGGGCTGATTTCTCTGAATCAGTTTACTTGCAAATGATATTGTGATGGAATAAAATGATCCAGGAAGCATTGGGCTGTTTCAGAGTTACACTTGATTATGGGGCCGAACGTCAATAACATGGTTGTGTGTTTATACTAATTTTGTCCTCTCAGCGATCAACAGAGGGCCAAACTTTATGACAAAGGTACAAAATTAGTATCAAACTCCATGTAGTTCACTCTGATGCTTCAAAATGTATCAATCCTGTACACAATGGATTTCTTGCAGTGCGTGTGTGTGTGTGTGCGTCTTTGACAGATGATACATTTTGAGTTGTTTACAAATCAAATAATAATAATGCTTTGAGCATAGAGATTTCTGATGTGTAGCGGACTAACTGCAACAGAAACAACTCCTCCTTCCTGTTTGTTCCTTTGTTTCCTCACATTGAAGGCTTGCCTTACGTTAAAACATCTAATAGAGAACAGATATCTTCGAATTTCTGTGCTCACCTTTCTCCACACATAGCCTCTGTTTCCTCAAGGTTAAACAAACATTTTTGTGCAGTATAACTATGATGTTTTAATTGGTATGGTTAAGATAAAACATCATTTTCAGAGAAATGGGATTGGGATTCGCTGTAATTGTCAGACTCCTGCCGTCAGCCATCGCAGTATATGAAACCCTGCTGTTGATTTTAGTGCTTATAAGGCCATTATGGATGCAAGGCTTGTTTGGTTTATGAAAGTCCGATGGTCTTCCTGCTGCCCTGTACTGATACTTCTTAACCGAAGGGCCTTTAATTGCTTCTAAATGTCATCAGAACACTAATTAAGGCCCTTTAATTTACCTCAAACCACACCCTGTGTTACACAAAACATATGTCCTGCGTTGACCAGTTTTTTTAAGCTTCCACTCCTAAATACACCAATTAAAACCATGTTTGCTGGCATCATGCTTTGATTGTTTATATTTTCAGTTGTAAAAATGACTTCCAGCAAAAACAATGTTTTGTTTTCAGAATTTTTAAAGCGTGTCATACCCGTTTACCTTGCAAGTTAGCATCCATATGGTCCGTCATTACCTTTGACTTTACAGATGGCCCCTATTTATTTGTTTGTTAATTTTACCGCATATTTTTCTCAAACTTACAAGGTCACTCTGCTCATTATCCAAAGGTTTACTCTGTACTAGTTTTGAAACCTGATGGCAGACAGTTGTGCTTTGGATAAATTCTCCCTAACTGTGTTAAATCTAATACCATCCCCAAGTCCTCTCAAATTCAATGGCAACAGGAAGTATGCTAAGGGACAGTTCCAGTGTTACCTTTCATTTTTTTCTCATCTGACATTCGAAACGAGTACACTTAGCCGCAAACCACCACACTCATATGATTTCATGTTGACACAGAAATTCACATCATCAGTCTGACCTTCAGTTCAGATTTCTTGGACAGTTTGCATGATACTTTCTTTTCTGTTCTGTTTTGGTTGAACCTGACATCTTCCTACTGTATCCACTCTTTGACATTCCATTCATGTGATTTGGGTTTATTTGCTATATTTCAAAGAATTTTCTCTTTTTTAACCCTCTTGGGGGGCTTTTTCTTTGATGTCCTCATCCTTCCATTTTCCAGGATTAAAGCTGATCCTCTTGTTTCGCCTCATCTTGTGCCGCATGGAATTTTGGTGGTTGGAAAAAAAAAACTTAATTATCTTCCTCATTTTTATGTTTTGTGCCATTCGGCTAAAATTAAACATCCCCACATTCTATACAACAGGAAATAAAAGGCAACAAAATCTTTTCTTGCCATCATATGTTTTATTTATTATTTTTGCCTTGTGCAGGCAACCCCATTCTGTCTCAAGAAAGTTGTGTGTGAAAGAATGACCACTCCCCCCACCCCTCCATCCCTGATCTCATCTTTATTTCTGTGCCTTTCTGCATAGACATGTCTGTTTGAATGCAGATGGCATAAAAAGACTTTTATTGCCACAAAGTATATCTGTTTTTCTATTTGTTGCTACTGATCAGTCGCATTTGATGCATGCATTGATTGCAAAATAACTGATCCCCAATGGGAGATCTCCATCATGACTCTTGCATGGGTGTTACTGGCTCCATCTTTTGTGCTTCTCCATCCATGAGTTTGCTAACAGGCTGACCATGTGTGCTGTTATCATCTGTCTATGTGCCGATGTCTTTGTCTTTAAATGTTGATTGCTCTATCTGTCTGATGTCTTGCCGATGTTGTTGTTTCTTGTATTTTTTCTGTGAAACACACTAATGGGAATTCCACAAAAAGGCTAATAAAACATTCATACCAAAAACAGGGATTACACTGGAATTTTGAAGGTGGGGAAACCCTAAAATATTACAGTGATTCTAGAGTGTGGTAATACAGGCCAGTTTGCCATGATATGAAATAAACAAATAAATTATCGGTTTTACAAATCAACCGGCTTGTCATGAAGTTTAAACAAATATAGTGCATAGAAGCTAACCCAGGGTCATTGGAAAAACGTGCCTGTGGTGACATTTCTGCAAAACAATATTTTGTTGCTTCTTGCTAGTGCAATGCTGTACCAGAATAGCTTCCGAACAAGTGTACAACAGAAAAGCCGTACATATAAATTTAATAGTAAAAGTGTTTTTTAAGGTCATAATATAGTATTGTGCTTTATTAATCGATAATCTGTCCCTGTAATCAAAATTTGTGAAATAAAAGTTTTTTTGTTTTTTTTTACTGTAGAGAGTGTTCATTTCAACTGGAAACTGTGTTTATAGGTGCATTTTTGGAGTTAGAGGTACGTTTTTCCAATGAGCCTACATGTATTTTGATAGAAGCATAGCCACAGTGTATAGAAATAAATCACCTATACATGGTTTAACATGGGTCGCATATTTAAAAAAAAATCTATTTTTGACATCCATACTTCAGCTTTAGGATAACCAATAAATAAATTAAGTTTATGTTCTGAATAGATCATAGGAGTGAATTTTCCCTGAAGACTAAAAATAAACTCAGTCAAACTCATGCACAAAGACAACTGACACAATTCTGAGTACTTGATGTTTGAATCAAACAGGGGGAAAAGCTGGCACCAGTGTAGTTCAAGAAGGAAGAGTCTTTTAAAGTAAAACTGATGTTGTAAGATCCCTAAGGTTTCAGCGTGCTGTCGTCGGCTCAGTTGATTAAGATGGAAAAGCAGTCTTTAAAGCAAGACATCAATCAGGAAGAGCATGGAGAGCTGCACAGAGAACATGAGACCCTGAGGAATGGGTCACTGAACCACTGACACGGGCTGAATTTTGGTGTAGTCAGATCCCATTGGGCCGGCTGTCACTTTGAAGCAGCTCTCAGATCAGTTTAAGGTTTAGTTGACACATTTAGCTTAATGGCCATACAACAAATTGAGCAGCAGACAGTGGTCGCATGCCTCTGGCTGAGGATATTAATTTAACACCTTGAGACACTCCAAGCCAAAAGATCCCTTGGAGAGACATTTAGAAAGACAAACTAGAGAAAACAAAACCACAGCAACTAAACCTCACAACTGGGAAAGCCAAACTAACTGACCCTATGCTAAGCCCCACCTTAAAAAATTACTAAAAGTAATTACTTCAGGTACAATTAACCATTATTGCTGGGGCAGTGTGACATGAGACAAAAACTATTTTTTTTTCATGTATTTACGTAGTTGAATGTATTTAAGTAGTTGAATGTTATTAACAACAATAATTAATTTACGGATGATAAAGAGCTCATACTACTTCAATCCATACATGATTTACTGTAACAGAGGAGAGCGGAGCTCAGAGATTGCCCAGTCTGATGCTTTGAGGATATGTCATAAAAGCCCGTTCTTGTATCTCAAGCTCTGTGCGGAGATACCCTGCCCCTATTTACCTCAGCACTTATGCTAGGTTATATTAGGGGAAGTCGTGGCCTAATGGTTAGAGAGTCGGACTCGTAACCCAAAGGTTGCGGGTTCGAGTCTCGTACCGGCAGGGATTGTAGGTGGGGGGAGTGAATGTACAGCGCTCTCTTCCACCTTCAATACCACGACTGAGGTGCCCTTGAGCAAGGCACCGAACCCCCAACTGCTCCCTGGGCGCCGCAGAATAAATGGCTGCCCACTGCTCCGGGTGTGTGTTCACGGTGTGTGTGTGTTCACTGCTGTGTGTGTGCACTTAGGATGGGATAAATGCAGAGC